CTCAGAAATTAAATTTTTGATTCGTAACAACCTTGAAAATATCTGAAATGAAGAAAAAATCAAATTACTTTTATTATGCATTTCTTTGCTTGCTAAACGTTCTGAAATAAATGATTCCTCTTCTTCCTCCTCCTCCTCAGATGAGGAAGAATAAATAATAGTACTCCATGAAGCTAAAAAACAAAAAAACGTGATAAATGCAATCATTGGTGTACCAGTGTATTTGTTTCCAAAATGTTATTAATATCCATTTTTTTTTTAGTTTTTAAAAAAAACCATATCTAATAATATTATTATCACAATTATTATTGTTTTTTCTTTGCAAACAGGAATAAATTCTTCACACAAATACTGAAAAGTACTTCTAGTAATTCTTGAACTCAAATTATCAAAAAGACAATGCCAACTTTGCAAAAAAACGCGTTATTTTTTTAAAATTTTTTTTTTTTTTTTCCCACAAAATTTAAAATTTTGATTGGTAAATCTTACTTGGAGGGTAAGATTTATTTTTAATAGTTTACTATTAAATATACCACGTGATTCTCCCTATCCTTAAAATTGTGTAACCGAACTCTACCCTTAAAAAAAGTTTAATTTTTCAAATAATAATATATATAAATGGGTACGTATGATCCGTCAACAATGTTCTTTTGTGGAATTCAGATTAATTGCCAAAATTATAAAATTCTCACAAAAAAAAATTGAAATATTTGATTCATTATGAGTGGAAAGGAAATCGAAATAATACTGTTAGTCATATATTTAGGCGGAGCAGCAATAAGCGGTGTAGCAATAAGCGGTGTTTGGGCATTACTTACTTGGATTTATAGAAGTTATTCTGCCGAATCTTCGACTGGAAATATCCGAAACATTCTTATTGTGGGGAGAACAGGCAGTGGAAAATCGACTTTGGCAAATGTTCTGTTAGGTAAAGAGAAGTTTACTGAAGTGGGTGGGTCTATTAGTGGAACCAAAATTATACAAAAAGAATTTTTTGAGTTCGAGGGAAATCGTTATTGCGTAATCGATACAATTGGGACAGGAGAGACTTCCGGGTTATCAGACAAGGAAATATTTAATAATATATACAAGAGTATTGAAGGAAACGGAATCAAACAAGCATTTTTTGTTTACAAAGGCCGTTTCACCAAGGAGCAAATAGAAGCTTTCAAGTGGTATAAAAGGCCCTTTCTCTTTAAGTATATGTCAAATTTAACCTCCTATTTAACTATTGTTTGTACAAATTTTCCCGAATTTGAAGATAAAGAAAAATGCGAAGAAGACAGGGAAAAACTGCTTGCGGAGAACAAAGATATTGCTGAGATAATTAGGGAGTTTAATATCATCCATGTCAATAATCCACCGCCAGGTTATGGGGATATGGCGGGAAAAGCCCGAGAATCTTCAAGACAAAAATTGCTTAATCACTTGAAATGTTTGTAAATAGGAACTTGATAATTACAGTCGTTATTTTAGTATTCATCATATGATCAAAAGAAATAATTTTGGGTGGAGATTTATTTCCCTTGGTTAAAGCTTGTAACTATGGTTTTTTTTTTATTAGTGAGACATTTCTTAACTCTATTTTTTGTTGAAAACTTGGTGCAAAGATTTTATCCTTTATTTAGAATTTTACACTTGCGCCTAAGGCTTCAGAATCAAAATTAAAATAAATCATATAACGTTCTGTATATCTCTTTTCAAACATAAGTATTACATTAATATAACTTTAACTTTGTTTTCAAGAGTTCACATACTAATAGAAGTGACTCCAAGAAATCATGTAATTTTTCTGATACTTAAATAGATCATAGTAAAATACATTCACTGTTATGGAATTCTCGAGACCTGAAATCCAATTTACAAATCAATCTAATGAATTTTAAGGCTGGATATCAGCACATGATATGGATTTTTTTTCCAGATCCTTGACGTATACGTAGCATCCGTCACAAGCTTCAAAACAAATATTACATACCCATCGTTCTCTTGAAATATTGCAATGTTATGAACTTCCAGGGATGAAAAATACTTGATTGTATTGTATTACACATAATGCTTTTTTTTTTGGATTTTATTATCATGTTTTTGTTTCTAGAGTTAGAACCATGAAGCTTGCATCTCAATTAAAATAATTGGCACAAACTCCGTATTAAAATTATACCTGTTCACACATGGGAGTAAGCATTTATTTCCCATGTTCCAAAAGGTCGTCAAGAAATCTTTCCCTTTGAGATCAGAATCTGGTATAATAAAAACTCCTTCATCACCACTATTATTATACATATGGGATTACTCATCACCTTCCTCCTCGCTATTCCCTCCTTCACCTTGTAACATGAATATTATCTTCATTGCATTCATTCTCTCTGATCCTCCCTCTTCCTTCCAACTAAACTTGAATTTTATTGAATTGAATTTATTTATTCTTGTTCGTGTTGATTGTGAATTTGCTTTATAAGAGGAAAAGAGGATAGATAAGATGGATAATAAAAAACATGTGTTTAATAATAAATATTATAAAATATAAAAATAATTAAAGGTATTGATTTTATGAAAAAAAAAATTATTGTTACAAAGAGTCCTTACTTTTAATTGATCGAATTAAAAAAACAAACATATCTCTTTTCTTTTATGAGCAAACATCATTATTTTATTAAATAATTACAGTCAAACATCTTTTCAACGAATTTCGCTATATATAATTACGCGGTTAGTACGATTATGTATCATAGATTCGTTGAACGAGGTTTGCCCGTATAATTATACTTTTAATAAAACAACGTTATTTCTAAAACCAAATGATGTTTTATTACTTCTCGTACTATATTTAAAGCGGTGATGTCATTAATAACCGAAGACATAACTTTTCAACCGGTAATTCTTTATAAAACTATAGCAAAATTTTGCAAGGAGATAAAACAAGTCGGTCGCTTAAAATTTCATTTTGCATGATCTTAGTGTTGGACGACGTAATTTTTTTAATTTATTATTAATATATAAAACTATCCGTATGTGCATGTATTTTTTTATTTGCATTAGACTAGCATTACCTAATTCATTGGTAATGATATTTTGGAACTAACATTATCAGTTTGCATTTTCTTATTTGGTATCATACTGTCGAAATAATGCTAGTATTGTTTTCCCTCTTCTTTACTTTCCTTTCCTTGGTAATTTATTTTATCTTACTAATAGATACAAGTCAATTCTCATTATGCCACAATTCCTTTTACTGCTGAGTAGTTGATTGAATTCCCCTAACTTTTATTGGCATCTTTTAACACAAGAAAATTTATATTGGCTAATTATTGAGCCTAGTCTTCCTTGACTAGCTAAATTATTGTTTTATCATTTGCGAAAGTGATTTTCCTGTTGCATCATTTCTTGGAATGGCATTGTCTGTGTGTCCTTTCATTATTTAATTTATCAACTTAATATTCAATTAGTCTTGAATTTACTGTGTGTGTTTTTTTAGCTTAAATTGTTCCTTAGTGATAATCTATATATTTCGCTTGATAATTATCTCTCTTCTCTTGCGCGTTGCAAAGTTCCGTGTGGGAACAATGAGGTTACTTTTGGCTTTTATCGACGATGTTCTTGGAATAAATTAGCGTACTCGACTTGGGTAATATTTGGATGACATCTCTTTCGGCAATTCTCACGTCCATATTCCCTTCGGAATTATTGGTTCTCTCTTCATGTAAATCACGGACTTCTTACCAATCCGTTTTCAGTTACATTTCTGATTACGTCTGCTAAATTGTAGTTAACTGGCTTTGTAAATCTCTTTGGCAGGCTTAGGATTGAGCTAGTTCTTGTTCTAATTGTTGATAACTAATTATGGCCGGTTTGGAAGTCTTGGATAATTAGCTGCTGCGGTTTTCTCGGCTTCTCCAACAAGTATTTTGTGCTTGTTCATTAGTTAATTAGTCTTGCGCTTGGGAAAGTTTGTTATTTAAACAAGTTGTTTTATTATTATCTTCGGGAATGGCAACAAAAGGCATGTTAATGGAAGATCATTTTTAATAAATAATAGCTCTCTTAAAATTACTGCCAAAATTTTTTTTGATCCCTGAAATTTTTTGTTGTCCATATTTTTAATTATTATTAAACTTGTACACAGTATTAACTAACTGTTTCTTATTGTGATATTATTTGTTATTAGATAATCAAAAAAAAATTTAAATATCAATCAATTTAATTATTGATTTAGAAATTGATTTAAGGCGAGTATTATTTATTATTTATTATTATTATTATTTATATAAAATATTTTTTCTCACTCTCTTTTCCTTTCAATTATCGTTTCATCACATATAACACTCACATACAAACACTTACACACCCACACACACACATATATAATTAATAAAAAACATGACAACAACAGCATCTGAATTTTCAGATTCATTACTTGCCGATTTTACAAAATTGCTAGTAGACGCTAACGACTACGATGTATTGATTAAAGTAGGTGGTGGTCATGGCGAATCAACAAGCAACAGCAACAGCAACAGCAATGCTGTTTGTATCAAAGCTCATTCATGTATTTTACGTGCAAGATCACCATACTTCCATTCGGCATTATCATCGCGATGGAAGAAAATTATTGATGACGATGACAATGGTGGCAATTATATTATTTTCGAAAAACCAAATATTTCTCCTGATGTTTTTCAAATAATTCTAAGGTGAGCAAAGAAGAGAATTTGATTGGTTGATTGATTGATTGATTGATTGTGGTTGATTGGTTGGTTGGTTGAATTATTTGGTAACCTCCAAATAGATATATTTATATAGGTAGAATATCACTTGAAAAACTAGACCCGATATTTACTTTGGACATATTAACGGCTGCAAATGAATTGATATTACAAGAACTTGAGGCTTCTGTGATCAGTTTTTTTACAAGACATCATGTCAACTGGATTAAAAGTCATCCATTACAATTGCTATTCCACACAGTATTCAAACTAGAGTCATGTCATAAAATTCAACAATTATGCCTCGACAACATTTGTAATGATCCTGATATAGTTTTCAACTCTTCAATCTCCAAATCAATCAACGAATCAATCCTTCTCCAATTACTTAAACGTGATGATTTGAGAATGAATGAAATCAAGCTGTTGGATTATTTGATTCAATGGGGTGTAACCAACCTTGACATTAATTGTAATGATGGTAATGTTGTTGACAGTGTTTCAAATTGGACACAGAATGAATTTGATGCATTGGATTCTATTTTGAAAAATTGTATCGGTAATATTAGATTTGAAAATATTAATCGTAACGAGTTGAAATCAATCGGACAATTGAAAAATTTTGAAAAATTTTTGGAAAAATATTTTTTACAAAATGAAGAAAATTTAATCGATTCAAACATCATTAATTTAAATCACGCGATACTTATTTCTGATTGGATCGATCAAAAAGATATAAAATCCAATGATAATAACAATACTACAGTTTATGACAAGTCATTAAAGTCAAATAATAATAATAATTCAAATTATCAAAGTCTTCATCATCGTCCAACTCTTAAAAAAGACAACAAGCAACAAATTTATCGTAGATCGCCATCTCACAAGTTCAAATTATTATTACGTGGCAGTCGAGATGACTTTACGGCAAAAACATTTCACAACTTGTGTGATAATAAAGGAGCAACGGTTGTAGTGATGAAAGATTCTATCACAGGTGAAATCATTGGTGGATATAATCCTGTTGGCTGGACAGGTGGATTTTATGGTAATTGGATTATGACTGACAAGAGTTTTATTTTTAAACTAGCGTCATCGTCGTCATCAATATCAACATCAGGAACAACAACAAATAGGGTGCAAAATTTACTAGCACAAGAAAATAATAATAATCCTAAAATTAGTAGAATCATACCAAAAAATTCTAAAATGGCTATATTTTGTGCTGATATTAGGGGTCCATGCTTTGGTGGCAATGATTTGTGTATGTCAAATATGAACAATTTAAATAAAGATTGCACTAGTAACCTTACTTATTATGACTCTGATGTCATTAAATCAAACAAATTTGATGTGCTAGATTATGAAGTTTTCCAGGTTGTCAGGAAGAAAGAAATTACAAAACTGATAAATGGTTGATGAACTATGGATGGTTAAATTATTATTTAACGTTTTTATAATTATTTTTGTACATTAAAAAAATAACATTTTGGACAATAAGTTATTTTTCTAAATTATTAATATTAATACAACTGTTATTACAATTATAAATTAAATAAAGTTGTAGCCGACTTGGTGGTGATGGCGTTCCATAACCATCATCAATTGGTTTACCATCCCAATTATAGATATCGGGCAATTTTTCTAACAATCATTTCTTGGATCATCAAGTGAAGCCATATCTTCAAATGTGGAAAATGTTTTATGGTACATATGGTGATATGACAAGAGCTGGTACTCGAACTCCTAAAATGGTGAAATTATATGCCACTTTTAATGTTTGCTTTTTGTTTTATCAGGCGTGGAATATTTTGTAAATAAATATTGTATGCTTCATCCAATGATTGTCCATCCATCCTGCTGATGTTCTATATACGTATAATAAAATGGATTAGTTAAATGTGTGACGAAGATGAGTTTATTTCTGCTTGGATTTGTTTCTCCAGTAAATGAAGAAAATCATCCATCAATCAAAGCAAATTCTACTCTCCCAAAAAATAGCTACATTATTATAAACACCTTGTGCAAGTTTAACAAATACTGGTACTTTGCTTAAATTATACATTTCCATTGGTTCTCTCACTGAAACATAATTGCTGGCTAGATATCAATTGGTTAAAAAATGAAATTTTAGTGTCATTCACACTCATTTAGTCTAACTCTAATCTAATCTAATCTTGTCCCATTCAACTAATCTAATCTCCAGCCAATATGTGCCTAACAAAACCAAGCATAGTAGTCTTAGTCCATTCTGAGTTCTGACACGGTGAAATTCATTGAGAGTATCAATTGTAAATTATATTCACTCTTCGACACGTGGGTAAATAGCACGTGATATAATAAATTAGTTACGTCATCACATTATAATATTAATAAACCAAAATATTGTTATTGTTATGATGGTTATATTTTTGGTTTAAAACACATTCTTCCGAGCGAAATAAAACTTGACGTTAAATTGACATGAACTGTATCTTTTTCTTTCTTAATTGCACTCATTTTGTATATGTTAAATATCAATATCAATTATTATGTTTTTAATTTCTAGTTAAGAAAGCAGATAAACAAAAAAAGATATCTCTTGATTGTTTACTAATGATGAATCATATTAAGGTTGGTCAAGAAAGGAATGCATAGTTACGTTAAAACCCGTTTTCATTGTTACAATAATAATAACAATAATAATAATAATAATTTGTTTATACGGATCGTCAGTACAAAAATGGCGACTTCCTAACATGAAAACCCCCATTATCAATAAAATGGTAACCTTCATCAACATGAAAACACGGAATTCATAGATAAGAGCATTTTTATTAAAAAAAAACCATAGTGATAACAACAACACAAAGAATTGATCGACGTAAATACGAGAATCTTGGCTTTCTCCTTACATATTAATATTAACAAAATTCTCAATCACGTGATTTTAGAGTAGGGATTTCAATGGGTTGTTGACCCGGTATATGAACATGAAAAACATGAGCTAATCATTATTATAAATGCGGAATAAATGGACTTTTTTAAAATAAAAGTGTTTGTTTAAAATAGCTGATTCATTTTTAATCTTGAACTTTGCCATTAAACTGTACCATTAAAGTTTTTCTAATGAATGCCTTGTCGCATTGAAAGGTCTTCTTTACGTAAATCAATGGATATTCAAAAAGTGATGTTGTTTTTTCATTCCAAAGCTGAGATTATTTTTCAACATTGCTTTAAAAGACTTGATAATGCCTGTGAAATGTAAAATATTCTGATCTTTCGTATGGTCATTACTTTATGGATATCAGTTAGCTAATGAGCTTTAGAGAGTTCACAAAAGACTGTTTTATGAACATTTTAATACTAGCTATATTATGTTATGTATAAAGCTTCGAAGGAGCCAAGAAATAATCGACTCAAGTTTGATGCTACATAAATTTTTTCTTAAATGACGAATGCCATTACCTAAAAAACAATTTAAGAGCCCCATTTCCTTCAACTCGGCTCGAATTTGAAAATTCAAGTTTTAACTCGAGCCTGTTCAACTTAGGGTTTCTATTCGAATAAGAATCGATATTGCGAATAGAAACTCTGGCTCAACTCAATAATAATAAAGATTTTTGTGAAATTTTATACAGTTAAACCTCTTTTCAACGAATCTTATTCAACGAATTTTTCCATAAATTTGTTAAAATGAGGTTTAACAGATGCATATCTAAAAAACATTTTTATTAGAAGCACAAATATTATCAAAACATGGAATCTTGGATTGTTCTCATTTTGAAGTTTTGAAAATTATTGTTATAATTTATTATAATTATTCAATTATATAAAATATTTAATTGAGCCAGTATAAATTCGGTTCAACTCAACTCGCTCGAAGCTTTAACTATGTGGATTGGGTCATTCATTCATTTACCAATTCAACATAAAAAAACGAAATAAAAGAATTATTATTATTTTATGAAAGTATTATTATCATGGGAATTGTTATTCGCACCCACATGACTAAGTGTAGTAATGTGAACAATGAATGGCTTAGCCAAATAAATCGCTTAGAAAATGGCTTGATCAAATAAACCGCTTAGCAAAATGGCTTGATCAAATAAAATCGCTTAAAATGTGATGATTTTATTGGTTCATCTTTAACAATTTTCTATTTTATATATATATATTAATATGTTAGGGGAGCATGTGATAGAATAATTAATTTCTTATTATTATGATTATTATGATGCAAAAAATAGAAACGCGATAATAATCGAATTTCGACCACTGCTATTTAAAGGAATTATCAGGACTTGAAATTAAGGTTGTGAGTATTCCTTGTTTTATCATATTTCTTGATGTAAAAATAAAAACGCAATAATATCAATAATTTATTATTTAAAGCATAAACATACGAAAAAAAATCGGCACTGACAAAAAATCGAACTACTCATTTCAATTACTTCTGTACTTTATTGAATAAAATACTGCAAGTATTCTTTTTTTAAGTTCTAAACTTTGTCTCTGAAATTTTAACACGGAATTTTTTAACAATTGCCCTAAACACAAAAACACAATTATACAAAAATATCGAGGATTAGGATATAAAATTATATGTATACATATTGTCTAGAACTTCGTCAGTTAAAAATAAATTATTTTTGGAAGGAAAAATTTAAATATAAAGTTTTTTTAATCATTACTTTAAAACCTACATATAATGTGGCTTTGGATTTGGTTGGTTACTTAGAAAACAAAATTTACAGGTCAATTATTTTTGTAACACACTATTTAACAACTACTGATTGGATACGGACTTAATTAGACTTTTTATCCATAGACCTCTACCATAATTAAATATTATCATTTTAAATTTGATTTTAATCAAATGATTTTGTGAAACTTTTTAAAATATACAAAAAGGAAAAAAGGAAACTTTACAAAATTTTACTTTGTTCCTTCCTACATAAAACCATAAAATATCTCATAAATTAAAATCATATTTTTTTAAAAAACAGAAAAACTTAATTTTTTTTTTTAGGTTTTATCAATATTTGATAAAGCATTAGCCATTTTTTCAGTGGAACGTAAAATCTCTTCAAAGAACAACAATGCCTCTTGAGATTTATCAACAATGTATATTAAAGATTCACGTTTCTTCTTTTCCTCTTCAACAGCTAAACGATATCTAAACACCAATTCATTAGATACTAAACGTGTTTTCTTTCTGACTCGTCTAACAATCTTATTCATCTGTTTGTCAATATAATTCTCTTGTTCTAAAACTTTTTGAATTTTACGAGCAACTTTACGTGGTACAGTATTTCGAATGTCTAATACTAAATAATAAACAAGTCCAATACCTATATGTTTTCATATTAAAATAAAAAAATAGGATTAATAAAATTTTATTGATAAAAAAAAAATAGATGGAAAAATATATTCATACTAGCAAGTCCAAGAACTGGCAAAACAATTTTACGCATATTATAAACATTTAAAACACTGCCTAGTTTCAAGAAACTGTGTAATATTTTAGCATTAGTTCCAAGTGCAACAAGAGAAGCACTAGCCATACCAACAACATTTACTAATTCACTGTTAAATTTTTCATGAATATCCAAATCAACAAAGTCTGAAATTTCAACAGGAATATTGAGAGAATGATTGAAATTTGCAAACATTGATTCAACATCTACTTCAGCAGTGGTATTTCCATTAATATCGGGTAAATCTTCACCCATTGATCTAAGTTTCGTGATGCATTCATGCGTAGCATGAATTGAATATGATTCGGAATTTCGAATCTGTTCCAAAATTTTATCCAACATTGCATCACGAACATCAGATGCATAATTCCAAACAGAAAAAAATCCTGGAAATTCGACCTTGATATCTTTATGAACATTTCTAATTACTTCTTTTACTTGTTGTCCACACAACCTAGTGATACCATTACAATAATCATCAATCATTCTTCCTGCATTTTCGGCAACCTTTTTCTCGTCTTCAACCAATTTCTCATAATCATTTTTTCTCTCTTCAAGTTCCATATTAGCTCTGTTGTGTTCTTGTAGAGCATGGTCAAGGTTAAGTTCTGACAATAAACCAACATCTTGTACAAGATTTTCAAGAAAATGTTGTGCAGGTGCAAGCTTAGAGTTAGTCCGTTTTTCAATGATAAAACTATGTAGTGCTTCTTCACATAAATCAAATTGTTCAACTGGATCATTAGAAGCTGAAGAAGTTGATGGTAAAGATGAATTTTCAGCCGAAATAATATTATCAGTGGGAGGGATTTTAATAGCAGATGCTGACACAAAGTGCACCAATTCTTTTGCATTGTCATAAGTACGAGGCGAGACTTCTTTTATTTGTTCTAAAACTAATCTTTTGCATTTTTCTTTGTCCCTGATATTATCAAAACGATTGACTACAATAAAGAGATA